GTTTCATGTTCCCCCAACCCCCAGTTTCAAAGATAGCTTATTGAGATAAATAGGAGTAGAGGGTAAAGTGTAATCCCCTTACCTTGGGCTTGAACTAAAATGAGAGAAAGGAATTACCAACACCTGACTCCAATTCCAGAGTCCATGGCACAGGATTCTAGCTGCTCCAGGCTATTTCCTAGTTCTGAAAAATAGAGCTCTTTTCATCCAGAAAAACGTGTTATTACCTCCATTTTTTTAATGGGGGGGAAGTGGGGTCTGAATTTTGCACGATTTATTTTACTTGAGTGACTAAACATCATTGAAGTCTTAATTACCTGGACAAACCCACAATTTCTGCTGAAGCTATGAACACGCACCATGAGGAATCACTGCTCTTAGAGAAGCTGAGGAGGTAAGCTGGAATGTTTTGTGTTTGTACGAATTCTATCCTGTACCAGCTCCAGATGAGGACGGAAAGTGCTACTTTTCCCCCTGCATGCCTGAAATGAACAATTGAATGCAGAAATCTTGAGTTCAGTTCCCACAGTTCAATCGCTAATCAGAAAAATAATGAAATTGCAGTGCACAATCTCTTCTGTCCATTATTAAGCCAATGAGCTTATCAAAAAGGTGTCTGTGCTTATCTAGTACTACTATGATGTACTCACCTTTCTGTGCCTTAGATGGCAAAGGGAGGGGGAAATCCTATTTGTTCAGTAACAATTGTTGCACATACAAATTTTAAAATCTAAAAATACCTATTGGTTTCAGGTATTATTAAAACCATTTATAAACAAAGTTTTTAGCAAATTTAAAACAGGAAACAATATAGAAAGAAGGAAAAATGATTTTTTTCCCCTTTCTAAATTTATTCCACAAAGTACATTATGATACTATAGACTAAATATTGGGGACTTGCTTAAATACACACATTAGTAGTATCCTGGCTAAAGACTGCAGTGTGCAAATAGGGCAATCTGTTCACTAACAATGACAAACAGAGGCTATTTTGCAGAATGGTGGGGCTTCTGGATTAAGTGTCATTGCTGTGCCTTAAGGTGTGTCTCTTTTTTTTGTGTCTCTGGTTTACTGATAGTTCCACTTCTACATAACCAGTGAAAGTTTTATCGGCTTAGAAGTTACTTCCCTATGTACTAGAGGAACAGGTGAAGTAATCTGTAAGAATTAAGACTAGTTTCATGTAAACAAATCAAATGACAGCTCTCATGAACCCCAACGAACAAGAATTATCAATACTGTCATTTTTACACCTAACAAAATTTTACGCTGAATAGATATAAACCATGCCACAAAACTAAACAGGAATACTTTGGTCAAGCAAGAATCTATTCCAGGAGCACTACTATATGCAAACACTTTAAAATAAAGTTATTCCAAATAAGCAGATTTGGATCAACACCACTATTCAAATCTGTGGAATATTCTGCACTCTATACAGTGACATCTTTTTTCAAACTTACCTAACTAGACAACAAAACTGAAAAAACAGCCATTGTTGGGGTTGGTTTTTTTGTTGTTTTTTTAAGTCTATGGGTTACAAATGTGCTGTGAAAGGAGAACCAAAATTCGTATCTTCCAGTAGCTACACACATACACACAGACAGAACCAAAACACCAGAGCTGTGAAAGTGTGTTTTCACAATATCTCAGATAACTACCACTGCTATTAATCACAGCCATTTTTTACAGTAACTTAAAATGGATCCATATCGACAGGACCAAGAAGTAAATGCTTGCAACTGTGGCTTACTTTGCACTACTTGTACTGCCGCTTCAGCACCCACCGCACTAACAGTTTCGTGTTTTACAATTTCACTTATGCTTCCATTCAGCGCGTTAAAAGAATGTACTTTTCTCTTACAGACTAGAGGCACTAAAGGTGCTGAAATGACTGATAAGTCTAACGTGTGGGCACTCACCTGACTTCTCTTTTACACTTCCATAGCCTATATGGTTTAAGTAAGTGCTGGCTGCACAGAGACTGCTGCAATGAGGACTTGCAGTCAGAGAGTAAGATGCCTGCAGGATCAAATGTATCCTCAGCAAATAGCATGCTTAGGAGGACTGATAATCCTTCCATGAAAACACAAGTAAAACTGAAATTCAATTGCAAGCTGAAGGCCCATGAACCACTGCATGCAGTTTCATGTGGGCAAAGTGTGTAACTAAAATTCTGACCACAAAGAAATGTTTTCAGAGAAAACATATTGAAAAATTATGCTATAAAGCTGATTGATTCATCAGGCAAACCCAAGGGATATCCCCAAGCACAGATGGGGGAAAAAGCCCCATCAAAATCCAAATGAAAACTAGTTGTTCAACATTCATGAGGTTTCCAGCTACTGCCACAAAATAGTGTTGAACTGCCAGCCTAGTTGTGAGATTTTTCAGAAAATCAAGTCCTAATTAGCACAAAGCCTTAAACTCCAAGCTAGTGGCTGTATTACTGTTTGCTAATGTGCTCAGCTGGAACATGTGCTCAGGAGCTAAAGCATTCTCTCTCTGAGCAATAAGCAGTGCTGAAAATACACAAATGCCACATAAGATCACATATATCTGAAAAAAAAAGTTAGGGAAAATATTTTCAGCTCAATTTCAATACCGCATGTAGAAACCTTGACACTGCTTTCACTCAAAATGACACACATACAAGCACATGTGTATTTGTCTTACTACTATTAGCTCATAATATTCTTAAGGGAAGCCAGGACAGTGACTACAGTCTCCAAGAGTAAAAGACAGCCCTTTATAACCTAGGAGATTTCACTAACCTTGTGCTCAGGCACCATTTCCTTCAATGCAGTCACAGAATTACACACAGATCCCTCTTTTGAAAGGAAGCAGGCCTTTCTACTACAGCGACTTCAAATGAGAACTAGCTTTTGGAGTCTCTTGGATGATAGAGGTAGATGGCTAAAGCAACAGTAGCTTTGGACTTTGCAGCAGGAACAGCAATTACTGTCAGGAGACTCAGTGCTTGACAAGAACTTTGTGATCAGTCAATGTTGCTTTTAGGTCCCCTCAGCAAACTTAAAATTTGCCCAGTGAGTTCCTCACTCACAAGCCTTGGATTCCCATGCCTATTTGAAACTAGCAATCAGGAGCATACTAACAGTGAACTCACTGGAGGGAGATGGAGTCTGGTGCACCTGTGCAACTGCCTCCTACTGCAGAGCACAGGAGAAATGGACTATGTAATTAGAATTAACACACACAGTGGGCCAAGACAGAACACAGAATAATTCCTACAATTCTGTGCGTTAAAGAACTGTGATACTACTGGGGAAGTGTGTGTAAACCTGACAACTGCTTCAATGTAGTTCACAAATATCTTTCATTTAGCTTTTGTAGCTGGCTGACTTGGCAACAAAGCATAAACCCCCAACCCCTTGTAATGTATTTACCTGCTCCCAGTTAAGTGTGAGCTACCAAACCTTTTACATCTTTCCTAGATCTTCAGCCCAAGATCACTCCTTCCCTTAAAGGAAGCATTATAAAAAAACCCTGACGTGCCAGAGTTACTTCAGGAATTTTGAAATAGGTAACTGACAATCTTGCCAAGTAATGTCTAAAAAGATAAACCAAAGATCTCATTTATAAGCTATTTTGCTGCCTTTTAAGGCAAAAGCTGCATTCCTATGCCCTTCCAAGAGCATCCTGAACTTTAAAGTTAACAGAGACTAAACTTAGGCTTACTTCTGCACTGTCTTTACAGTTTTCCATTGCATTTCTCACTTGGTTTACATGCCAGCTTCCAAAATTGTTAACCAACTTGTTGAGAGACTGTTTCTGGTCTAGCAAAACCTGAAAGGGGGGGTGGGGAGGCACAGCAATTTCCCCACCCAAACTCCCTGAAATTAAAAACAAACACAAACCTGAAAAAGAAATGTCCTATTGACTTCAAGCTTTCTCAGTGTTTTTAACATAGGAAAAAGGGGGTTTTATGTGCACTTGTAACTTCATTGTGGGTTTTAAAACATATATCAGTTCAGTCATGCATTTCTCTCAGCAGAAGTATCTGCATGAAGAATCTGCAAACTGCTGCTATGTTAAACTAACTCTACCACTTTAGAAATATTACTACTTAGAGAAAATGTCACACATTTTACTTCTAGCAAGCCTGTTGAGAGATCCGAGAGAAATTTATATCAATAGAAAAATGTCTAGTTGGCACCTGTGAATTGGCTTGTCCATTTTTTGAAACTCAAATGCTGTAATTCTGAATGCATGTTAAGACAGATTGTCTTAACACAGCTGTTGCTATGAAGCATAAGAAGGTAAACAATTCACCTCATTACTTTTTTGCCTCCTCCAGTGTAAAGATTCTAGCCAGAATAATGAAAAAAGTGATTTCTCTCAAGTTTGCAGATCCCTTACTAAAAGGTTCCTTTTAGCTTACCCTTTTAGGATCTGACTCTCAGACTGAGATGGTCAGATGCCTCTCCTTCCTCAGAGTAGTCCACACATTTTTTTTCACAGTCACCAAGTTCCACAAAACACTGTGATCTTTGTATACTTGAACATTACTTGTTTACAGCAACACTAAGTGCTCTGAACTGTGGCAGACACATCTATTTTTAACATGAAATTTTTATGATTTGGTTCAAAAGTGGAGTTCTTTCATTTATTTGAAGTCCAGCACTCACACAAAAATGAGTGCCCATGCTGGGGTCTGTTGACTAACACTGTAAGCTGAAAGGAAATCTTGGGTTTAAGGCACCCAAAAAGCATCTTGTTTATACAAATCCTGACCACCTGTTATTGTAGTTCCCACCTCTGCTTCTCTTGCAAGTGTATCACTTCACTGAAAGTGAAGAGGAAGCAGACACGACTATTTAAAGCGTAAACCTCTGTAATCTATAAAACCTGCGGTTTATACTGTTTTGGGTGCAGCTAGTTAGCTGATATCGCAACTCTTCTTCTGAGTAAAATTATCCTGTTATAGCTTTTCTGTTATTGCACATCGTATACCTGTTGTAAAAAATAATCAAAGATACTTCCTTTTGCTTTGATGCTGTAAGCACCTGCAATAGTTTTAGATTGTTTTCAAATTTCCCAATAAACACACTGGAAGTTCCCCACTTGGTGCAAGAAGGCAGATTTCAGAGCAGGAAAGACTCCAAGGTACAGGTTCCCATCTCTATCTCTTAGTTTGAAGCTGCCCAAATATTATTTTTGAGGCATGCTTACAGGCTTAATGGGGTGCACCCAAGATCTATATTCCCAAGCTCCTAGGGAACAGATTCAAATTTGTGAACTCCACCTCGAACCCAAGCAATGGAGGGCAAATGCCTATCGTGATCTTTGTCTGATTCAGGCTGGCTCTGGGCACGCTCTGGCTTGGGGTTCAAAGAAGGTGGGTCAGGTTGCTGTACAGACATAGTCCTGCGGAGGTGGTTTCTCTTGCGCAAAAACTCAGGTTGGGAGTGGAGGCCAAAGCTGCCTTTCCTCAAGATCATCCGAGAGTTGTTCTTTTTGGGTCGTGAATGGAGACTGAACTCCAGCGAGGCCAAGTGGGCTGCATAACCTTCACTGAGGAACTGAAATAGGAAGGAAAGAAAGGGAGTGACCAATTGCTGCTGCCTTGACCTATGAGCAATATGAGGAATTAAGTTTCTATCTTTGGCATCCCAGTTAGACACCTACACAGTACTAATACTCCTCTGCCTTCACTGCCTTTTTTCAGTGACCTGTTCTGTTTTATCATTCAGCAATATGCAGTGCATGCACTTGCAGATGCAACCTGCAACCGCTCGATTCTCTTTACAATTCACCCTGCCAGAAAATGCCTCATTTGTGACCAAACTGCCCTTCTCTGAAATAGTATTGCTGCTCTGTGTGCCTGTGTTTGCAGATGCATTCACATGCATGTGTTTCCTTGTCTTCTCTAGGACTTCCTGACTGAGTAGCAAGAATTACTTACTTGACATTGTGCCTGGTATTTCTTTGTTGATCGTCCAACTATGTAGATCTGGGATGGCGACAGAGCCAAGACACTGTACACAGAAATATCCTTCATGGAACCGTATGCGGCACAGATTTTGATGTGGCACTGAAACAAATATTACTTCCAAAGTGAACGCTCTATTGAACACCATGCAACTACAAAGCTGGTGCTTGATGGACAATGAATATGAGCTCATTGTTAACAATCTCATTCTGTAAACCACAGAAAGCTAAATCTGTCTGCCTGCATACCTGCAAGAGCTACAGCTATGCACACAGGAAAGAACAAGCAGTGCATTTATTTATACGTCATGCCAGGAGGTGCCCTTGGATGTTTTATCAGCCTCCCTTGCTCTTTATAAAGTGAGAAAACAAATGAGGAATGGCTAAAAGACTTTGTGATGGCCAGTGAAATTTACTTTTCAGAAAGCAGATCTCTTACTTTACTGAATGACATTCTCTGGAGAAAGGTTTTAAGGCTATAAACAGGTTTCTAGTACCTCTTGCATGAGATTCCGGAGAAAAATGGTCTTTTGTCGCAGTGGATCATGAACAAGTCCATCTGAGAAGAAGATCATCCCTTGTGGAAAGTTGTGTTGAGACAACCATGAAACCACACGTTGCTTTTGCATATCTGGACGGCCGGTGATATAGATAATCAGATATCCCAGGTCCTGCCAATGCCTGTCAGAAACAGCAGGTAAATTATGTAGGTGCAGAAAGTGAAAAAAGACTTCCCAGTCAGGTCAGCATCTTTTCTCAGCACAGGCCCACTTAGAAGACAGACATTATCCTTCAACAACTGGAAAGCAACATGCCTAAGTCTCTGCTCCTATCAAGAAATCAAGTAACAATGTCTACACCTTGAGGGAGATGGAGGAAAGCAAGAGATTCTTGCACAAAATATTGTCTAAAATATGACAGCTATTAAAAACATATTTAGAACAGACCTTGCTACACTTCAAGTCCTGCTACCTTTGAAACCTTTAACAAGATTTCCTGCCATTTCAGCTGTAAGGAACAGAAATCCTTGAAAACCGATATCCCTACATTCCTATACAAGTTCCAAAATGAGAACTGCATTTCCCTCTTCAGTGTGACATTGACTTGCAAGAATGGATTAAAAGGCCCTTTATATTTTCCTCCAAAAACATTCTTTCATTCATGGCACTTGATATTTTTGAAGTAGAAGTATGTCCTTATTTGAAGTTAGTGAAACACAAGATATACATGGAATCATCATTAATTCATTGCACACACTTTAAGGCCATATTCTCGAGAAGCAGCTTTTAACTTTCAGGCAACTTAAATCACAAGTTTCCAAGATTCCTCTGAAAATCAGGCAGACCTGATGTGCAAGCAATTATAGAAATGTATCTGCAAAGAATTATTTACTTAGTAAAAAAAACCCTCTTCCTTCCTACTAGGTTCAAGGAGAAAGTCAGAGGTTTAGGGTTCAAACCTCACTCACCTGACAACATCAACGGCCCCTGCTCGGACTTTGGGGTCACTTCCCATAATTGAAACACTTGCTGCAAATGAACCATCAATGCTGAACACAACACACTCCATTCCTCGGGGAAGCACAGTCAGGTAACTTGCAGCACTGCTCTGGTCCCCTCTAGAGAGTCAAAGCAATAAATTAATTTAAAAAGCAAAATGTCACAATGTATTTTTTGCATGTTCTAGTTAAGACTTGAAAATGGATCTGTCTGGGTCTACAGCTTTTAAAATCACTGTCAAGTAGGGCTTCTGATTTCAGTCCTATGTGGGGAAATTAAAACTTACACTTTTAGGAAATAGCTTTCCAAAGAGAAATTTGGAAGCTGGCTTTAATTAAAAAAAAATAATCACATGTGTACAAATAACTAAAAGATTTAAGAAAAAAAATAGCCTGAAGTACTCGAAACTACTACACAAACTTTATCCACAAGCTAAACAGTTGGAAAATACAAGCATTACTCATCCCTCTGTCCTTGCAAATTACAATAGGAAGGCCAGGCTAGAAAGGTTACAAAAAAAAAAAAGCCCACCCCAAAAGAATGCAATCATAGATGACTCTTCTCATAGAAAGGCACGTTTCCTCATGGCATATTTTCCCCAAGAGGTCTGGACATCAAAAAATGGATAAATCACAAGGCAATCCAAAGTCCTTCGCATCCCATTACCTCATGTCCCCTAAACAATGCAATCTGAGGATGACATTTTTTTCCTTTAGAAAGATTATTATTTTATGATCTAGAAATGTATATCTGATGCTGGAGAGTCTTACAATATATGCTCACAGCTTAGTGAGCAAAGACAGGACAGTCTCTTTCATTCCTGTTTGAAACTTACTCCTGCAGTCTAAAGCTTGGCTTCTCGATACAACTTAATTTGTGTTTCAGTAACTCTCTTCTTGAACTGACTGACTGTTCTATTCCACTGAGGTAACAGATTTTCTTCTCCTCAATTAACGCTACATAAGATTGTAAACTGTGTTTGGACTTTCCTAAACTGGGGCGTAACAACACGTTCAGCTTCAGCGTAACTCACCCCACTGATTTAACCTCCAAAGTAGGTATTCAGAGGAAGTTTTTGCTCAGTTTTGAAGTTCCTTCCTGATCACAACAACACATCACAGCTTTAGTTCCAGCTTAGAGCTATTACCTGACCACCATTTTGATGGGATACACACCAACTCTCAGTCTCTTCTGTTCAGGTATGCTGTAAGATATCCGGCCACTGCTGTTGGATATCTCTGTGTCAAAGTACACCCACCTACCCGAAGATGGCTCAGTCATTATGAAGATATCCACCTGCAAAACCAACATTAATCCAGTGTGATAGACGGCAAAATACCCACTATTTACAAGGCCTGCCAAGCCTAGATCACGTTAGTATCTCCAACTGTGGCTGATACCGAAAGCTTACAAGGAAGTTTGAAGGAACTTCAAAACTCAGTAAATACTTCACAGAGGGTCCTCTCAATTATCAAATGCTTCCTAACACACAACACAAGGGTTTATTTGCTTCATAATTTAAAGCACTCATCTTAGCACTGCAGGTGTCAAACATAGGCATAGAGTTCATAAATTTGTCAGGGACCTTTCCTAGTTTAGGGAAAAAGATAATTTCAGCTTGCACATGTGTCGCAGTTTAATCCCAGCAGCAGCCAAGCCCCACGCAGCTGCACCCTCACTCCCCCACCAACAGGATGGGGGAGAGAATCAGAAGGGTAAAAGCTAGAAAACTCCTGGGTTGAGATGAAGACAGTTTAATAGGGAAAGCAAAAGCCACACACATGAGCGAAACAAAACAAGAAACTAATTCACCACTCCCCACAGGCAGGAGGTGTTGGGCACCTCCAGGAGAGCAGGGCCCATCACGCATAACAGTTCCTTGGGAAGACAAACGCCAGCACTCCAAATGTCCCTCCTTCCTCCTTCTTCCTCCCACCTTATATACTGAGCATGATGTCCTATGGTGTGGAATATCCCTTTGGTGAGTTTGGGTCACCTGCCCCAGCTGTGTCTTCTCCCAGTCTGTGTCAGCACTGCTCAGGGATAACAAAAGCATCTCCATATTATCAACCCTGTGCTCAGCACAGACCCAAAACATAGCCCCATACTAGCCACTGGGAACAAAGTTAGCTCTGTAACAGCCCAAACCAGCACAATGTGTATATTACATTTTTGCATACTAAGCCTAGAAAATGGAAAATTTCATTTGGTTACGCACAATATGAAATCCAAACCTTGATTACAGATGCAAAACTGATGATCAAAATTTTTTCAAACAATTTAACCAACATGGTTTTCTTCAACTGAAATACTTTATCAAGACTAACACGAAGTGTATTAATACTTTGCTGGACTTGAAACAGGCCAAGTGAAGCCTCCACACTTCAGTTTTGACCGCAGCTCAGCAGCAGTGCACAGAAAAATCCTACAATCTCAGTGAATACAAACACGTGTTCACTTAATGCTTGGCTTTACTAGCTATAAGTCTGGCTTCTGCAGGCACCTATAGGAGTGTCAGTTCCAGCTGTGTCACATTACTACTAATTTCTAACACTAATCTTTACTTGTCCACGTGTAAGAGGAACAGCAGCCACCTAGTCTCTAGAATCCCTATTCCTTTTACCTAGATAGGATGATATATAATTTTCTTTTAGTGATTTGCCAACTACTATAAAATTGTATTTCCTCCTTGCTCGGAAAGTTAATTATCTCCGGTAGGTGGTGCAGCTGGATGGCAGGTACAGCAATCACTGCACAGCACACACACCATTAACCAAAGGAGACAGCCAGCATCAGGAAAGATGGATGAGAGCTGGGAGAAAGGTCAGCTAGCAGGAAAGCCACTTACAGCCTATTTCTTCTGAAGTGGTGGTAGCTAGTGACATATTTCCCCTCAGCATGAGGCTTTCTCTGATACTACACATGTGCACTACATTTGACAATTGTTTCTAATAAAATAAGAAGATTGATTACTCGGACTTCACCTTTTCACCTGTTAAAGCCACCATGTCCAGAGGTCCATACATAAAGCGCCCAACTAGTACCTGAGGACCATCTTCTGCTGCAATGACATCATTAGCTCGGTGATTAGAAGTCACATTCTGAAATAAGAGCAGAAGGTGGCAAGGGTAGTGTTTGATTTTGTAGCGAGTCTACTGTTTCTATTACGTTATTATGAACAGTGACACAGAAGCACAGTCCTGGACAACATGTCTGAGGTACATCACAGTGCACCTTACAGCACTGAGCATTCCCACTGCGTTCCCATTTCAGCTGGAGCCTGATTTCCACTAATGGTGGGCTCCTGAATAGACTTTCCAGTGAGAGAGCTCAAGATGTCCAAATAAGATAGAACACTTAAGGGAATGCCAATTATTTTTCACTTCAAGTGGTGCCACATATTCACATCATTATGTGCAGGACACACGCATTTTAACTGACATTTCTAACTGAATCAGCATCTGAAAAGTAGAGGAAATACTTTTGTTTGACTTACGGATTTGTCTAGCATAAAAGAAACCTCTCTGTGAATGGAAACTTATGGCCCTTCTGTTATTTAAAGAAAGAAATACACTTTCTCCCTACAGTTAGTGATAAACCAACAATGTATCGTTCCTATTTCCTAAGCGTTAATTTGCTTGGTTCTGGATTATGTTAGCAGTTTTCAGCTCTTTAGTAATATTCAGTTATGTAAACTCTTCCTCTGGGAGACCAAATTCTTTTACAATTTCTGCCAAATCCATGTTCCATAGCTGCCAGGAGTATCTTCAGATTTAAACTTACTCTCAGTTTGACATGCGTCCTTTTGCGCAGCCACTTTTCTCTTGGATTGGATGGACTTAGTGTTGCTGGATCCAGGTTGTCATTTTCCTTGAAATTTACATTTTCATACCTCATCACCTGAAATTATATTAATATTTTAATAAACGATGTGTGGCCTGGGGAGTCCTGGTAATTGGCAAAGAAAGAGAAAATTACACTGCTGCCCCAGCTGAATGACACTGCAGAGCCAAAAGGACAATGAAAACAGAGAGAGAGGTACAGACCATATGTTCACATTAATCGTACAAAGAAACAGCTTTCAGTCTGTTGGCCAACACTTCACCTCAAATACAGCTTATCCATTCACAACTGAGCTTGTACATGGTGAAATGTACACCAGAGAAAATGGTGAAAATATTAGGACAGTATTGAGTGACTGTCACATTGCTTACGATCTGCGAAGTCAGTAAACCAGCTTAAGACCACAGAAGCATTTTTAAATGTCCCATATGGGGCAGAGGTCAGACTCCTGACTCCATCTGTATTGATTTTCTGTACATCTACTCAGACAGAATGGTTCTCATCACCTCTTGGATATTACTCACCACTGCAGTAGGTGATAAGACTCAAGATTTGGCTTATGGCTGGTAACATCTAAAGACAACCAGAGAATCATAAAATATCCTGAGTTGGAAGGGACCCACAAGGACCACTGAAGTCCAACTTTTGAACATGCAAAACCTTAATATGTCATACAAACTACACATTCTTACAACCTAAATATCACACACTTACCAAGAAACTTGCATGTCCAACTCAGGTTTCAGGACACAACCCACAGAATTCAGGATCTGTGCGTGGGTTATGCCATATTTCAATTGAAACCACAAGCCTTGTCTTACTGAAATCTGTGGGTTGCACCCTGGGATCATGGATAGCATAAGGCTACTTCATTTTGAATGAGAAATAGCTTAGCATCTCTCTTTCACAAGCTAGCAGAAAATTTCTCAAGTTTAACAGCTGGTTTTCTGTGCTGAACTTTTCCACTCTGGATGCCCTTGCTAGAAGAGTGACCTAGAACCATTTTGAAAGATGTCTTACATGAAAGTCCCTTGAGTAAACCCTTGCTGCATTCAGAGTTAGCAAAGCAGTTGGCTTGCAGCAAATCACAGTAAAGCTGAAAAGTCTGCATGTTTTTTAACAAATTGGCATAAATTCTTTTCACTGGAGGTCATGTGCAGGAATCTATGCACCCACAGGGCATTCAGGAGCCACTAGCCTTAATCTTAACCCCCAGCAAGGGCAGAAGGTCCAGACTATGCTGGAACTAACCAGTCCTTTATGTAGTGCTGTAAGCTCACATATTGCTTTACAGGCAGTTCCAAATGCTTCAAGGGCTTATTAAATTCTAAAAGCTGTAATGCACATACAAGGCTAGGAAAGACACAACAATGCAACTACATACAAATACACAGAAATAACAAGTAGAATAAAGCAGGAATAGTTGCTGACAAGCAACTGGACTCAGGAAGGTACTTGAAAGGAAAGATGGGAGAATGTTCTGATGAATTTAATGCAAAAAGCATCCTGAGAGAGAAGAAAAGAGCTGTAAGAGAGTTGCCAAGGAGAGTAGAAACATCTATGTACAATTGTCTAGGGCCTTTGGACAGAAAAAAACCAGAGATTTGCATCCTGTCACTTGTAGCAGAAACTGCTCCTCTACTTTGCGATGAGCATCAAATAGGATTCCTCTGCTGGACTGTTCCTGCTCATGGAAAAACTCTTCAGTGACTTTTGCTTTGCATTGATTATGGTGACGCTAGTTCTAAACAAAATTTTTTTTATTAGGATGCTCTGAAAGGACAGCAAGAGGTTGAAAGAATCTTAGAATTTCAGCAATTAAAAACAGCAACCACAAAACAGGTTATCTGCCGCATACACACTCCACTCAGACTGCCACAGAAAGATGGGGGCTTGTACATTTGCAGAGCCTGATCCAGCAGCAGTTGTGGACTGGAGGGAATTCAGCCACAGAGCTACCAGGTGAGCCTCCAGGGAACTAACACCACTGGCACCAGCACTGGGAGCAGGAGCTGGAGAGAGTCAGCACTCAGAGACCTGCTAAAAGGAGCTGCAAGAGAGGCAGGCGCACTGACATCTGCCAAACACACTGATTCTTGGGTTAATCCAAATTAAACTGCTTGTGACTGGGTTTTGTGTGAGAGTCACTCTGGGTTCTTGGAAGGACACTTATTCTGCAAGTTCTACTTGAACACCACTTCATTTTTTTTGCTATCCCAGGTGAGATTTGTCAGCCTCTCCCCTTCCTCTATGGGTAAGAGCACTGCATTATCTCTAAGTCACAGAGCTGCTGCCTAATTACTGACACAGTAGGAACAACAGACTCATCGTATGACTCAAATAAATTCTGAGGATACAGTACACACAATGCCTCAAAAGACTGCTGGTAAAGGAGCGAAGATTTTCTTATGGAAGCAGTACTTTCAAACTGCTGGTTTCCATCAGATGTAATACTAATAATTTCATATTTAGTATGGAGATACGTAATTATCTAAGGCTGGAGAGAGCCTGTTCCTTCAAAAACAGGAGGAAATTAATACATAATACAGGTTTATACTGATCTGGGGCATATGAGAGGTGAGTAAGGTATGCATAACAATGCAATATTCCCAGTCACAAAGTCAGCAGTGCTAATGGTAGGCTCACTGTCCCCTTCACCTCTACAATAAATCCACATCTGTCATTCCTACATACAGTTGTATGTGATGCAATCTAGCCATCTAACCGAACTAAAGATTAAAAGACTGACCCTTGGAAGATGCAAATAACAATTAAAGGTTATATGTTGCGGAGATAAAAAAATGCAGAGATCAACGACCTGTCTCAAAATGAAGGCCACAACGTCTGTTGATTCCCAGTAGCTGGCATGGAAGAGATGTGGCAGGGCCACAGTTGGAAAGGCCGTCAGTACATCTGGACAATACAAGGCATAATCTATGCGTTTTGTTCCCCACCACTTTGCAGTAACTACAGAAAAAAAAGAAGCAAAACAGCGTAACATTTCTGTAACTTAATAAATCTCTTGCTGTCATTATGTTTAAGCTAGATAATTAAGTCTCCTGCTTCTTTAATCTTGACATTTTGAGTCTGTTAAAGGCAACAAAAACACAAAAGTACTGTTTTCTCCAACTGCATTGTCACTTCACTGTCCACAATCTAAACAGCACTTTTAATTAGGGGTAACAAACCTTACCTATCTATATTTCTTCATACCTGGAACATGCTTGTAAACCCCTGCTACTATAAAGCTCTTATGACTATTTATTAGTGGCACCTTAATACAGAACTGTGACTTCACTTCTATTACATTATCGACTTAATTACAAACAGAAAAAGAAGACAAAATGTGTTATATGAAATTGTGGGAACTTGGGCTGTTCTCATTCTCCCCAAATTTCCAAGCAGATACTTTTCATAATAAAACTTTTCACAGAAATGATGTGGAGGAAAGGATTGTTGCCATATCCAACAGCACATGGCACCAAGGCTTCACTCACTGTTGGTGAGGCATGCTGATGGTAAGCTTTCTGTTGACCCTGAGTTTTCACTGTTTGTGCTGCCCAAGCTCAACTTTCTTGTTTTCCCTTGTGGTTGATCAGGTGCATTTGGAGATCCAGGACTCTCCTGAGAGAAAGGCATGTTCAAAGAGCTGTTCTCAAGGAACAGAGCACTGTGGTTGTGGAGAGCATCACCTGCAGGTTACAGAAATGAAAATAACAGAAGCAAAATGGGTTGAACAACATGACTTTGAAACTAGTGTTTGCATGTAGATGCTAATGAGCATTTGTCTTACTGACTTTCAATGCAATGAATACCCTCAATCATGCACAGAAGAGAAGACAATAACAAGTTGCTGCTTTCAAGGATACCATTCAGAAAAAAACCCAAACTGGAAGAGTAAGTGTTTACAGATTATCAGAACTGGTAAAACAATTCATCCTTATGTGAAAAGAATAGCAGTATAGCTCCCTAAAATCTCTTCCATTCTAAAAAGGAGACTTGGTCAGAAAGATTCTGGCTTGTTTCAACATAAATCTGAATATCTCAGCTGTAAGAGACAACACAGGGAGCTGCCCTGCAACTGGATCAGAGAAACAATTACATTCTACACTTTATGATGGGTACGTAGCTTGGACAGAGTATGTTCTAATGCCGTTTCCATGGAAACATGTGGTTTGAGTTTTCACTAAAAAACCTGCAGTGCACTCTTCTTTCAAAGGAATCTTACTGACACGTATATAGAATAGCTATGTGTGGCTACAGGAGAGCTTGATGGAGGTGAAAAGAATGAAAGGATAATTTTATTACTTCCCTTGTCTCAGGCAAACTATACAGACCAACACAGTGAACTGAAAAGGAAACACAGTGCTGCTTTCCTGTTACTTGTCTCACAAGGCAAGGCAGTATTATATGCTTTTCATAATGAAAGCAGCAGCACAAAGAAGTAAAAGCTTTGATTCTATGTCATACTAAATACTGAGCATCTAGGCACCTGGTCCTTCTGACAACAAACCCCAAATCACGTGGCCTAAAATAGCACAGCAAATCAGTTCACTGAAGAAAGCAGCAGAATCCATGGACATAAGCAGTCAGGAACAGGTAAACTGCCAAATTGCACTCCACTAGGGGACTATCTGAACCAGAACCCTGATCCAAACATCGGCCAGTAGGAAATTCCACAGAACAAGGTACAATGAGTTCCACAGATGAGAGCTGTTCCCCCATGAAGCGCTTTACGATTGGAAGCGTTTGGATGCGTACATTTTGCTTTCCTTCCTAAAGGATTCACTGAAATAAAAAGAGTTGTGCTTTTAAAATAAATGTTCTGCTTCTGAATGGTGGTTGTTCTGCCGAAACAGTTGCAAACTGACCCAAATCTAATCCTTCCTTCCCCATTATAATTTTTCAAGAGTTTTGCTTTTTCATTCCCACTAAAATGGAGACAGAGAGACAAGTAAAAATATTAATTTTGCACAGAATGGAAAGCATGTTGTCAGCCAATGTATCTGTTAGCTTTTTTCAGATTACTGACAAGCTTAAGACAAGCTTGGTAAGGAGTCTGGTGCCTTGAAACCTGTTGCTTATTTTGTAATACTGTTATTCTAAACTCAGTAACCCTTCTCCCTATTAGAGATCAAATCAATAAAATGGAAAGCATTTTTAGCCTCTCTCAGAGGTTTTCTTCTCCTACTTCTCTTTATTATTAACAGGTTAAATTATTATTATTATCCTCATCATCATATTTATTAGTATCTTTATTTTAAACATGTAGTGCAGCCTGTCTTCATCTCTGTAGGCCCTATCTTTGTTGAATTGTAAAGGAGGACAGAAAGTACCAGTAAGATACTAATAAAATACACATAATACTATTTTTTGCTAAAATCCCTGTGCTCAGCTTTTGACTAGGGCAGATTACTTGCATATTTAAAGACGCAAATACACTTGGCATTTAAATAACTGAAATGGATACTTCTCACCCAAATCAACCTTTCCTGTGGCTCTGAGAGTCACTAAAGGTTATAATTTGTCCTACTAATCTAAATTTACTGGCACGCTTGATAATAACTAAAATAAAGGCAGATCATTTTACAGAGTCTCATCTTGGATCATTATGACAGATACAGCCAATACAAAGAAGCAAAGCAGATTCCTCAAAGCCACACAGTAACTGCCTCCAGATGAAACCAACAATACTTTCCTTTCCCTGCTCTGTATGCCTGGCAGTGCTTTCAATGCAGTTTCTTCTACTTTCATTTGTCTGTATATCACATTCCAAAAGCTGGACTTAAATCATGCCTCAAACACATTTGTTTTATTAAGCTATTGTATCAATAACCTAGTAATGGCATCATGTCCACCTTAGGAACTGTAGCAGCAGGAGAGAGAGTTAAAACTGACCAAGTCATTCACAGAAAGAGGAACAAGTCTCTAGTCTAGTCCAGTCTCTAATTGTCAAAACTGAGTCAGCTTTCATCCTCATTAAGCTCTTAATAAATCAATCCATCACACACACAAAGAATACCATATTATTACACACTGAATGACCCCGAGGGCGGATAATTATTGATGCCTGCTGGGCAGAGAAGGCAATTGTCTAGATAAATGTGCACCCTGCTCTTAAAGTCCTGCCATTTAAGTCTTAAATGTTTCCTGAATCTCAATGGAAAAAGTAAAACAAAACCTTCAAGATAAATCCTAAGCACAGAACATCTGAGAACTGAAAGACAGCTGTAGACATACTCACACCCCACCCCTACCATTTTCATAGTCTCCAGCCTGTGTTATTGCTGAACTGTTCCTATGAATCCTATGGAGAAACTCTTTTCTAGTAGTAAATTTTGTGTTAGGCACCTTCCAGATCAGATATTTTTTTCACTGTATCAGGAATGTCAGGTAGACAACAGAATTGCTCTTATTTTAACCATCGGTTCTCATGAGAAAAGAAACAACGTGCTTAATGATGTGAAAGATTATCAGAAAAGGCTGTTTTGGGCAGTGCATAATAATTAAGAGTTCGGTGTAACTAGGTATCATCAAAATTGATTAGTAAACTACCATTCCATTTGACACCACAAGCCTCTCATTTTAAGTAGTACTTCCACAAGCCCAGGTATCAGAGAAAGGAAAAAAAAAGTACACAGTCACTTGAATTAATCCTCTGTGAATGCAGAAACTTAAATTCCAGAAGGACCTAAAAGTGCCTGCATTTAAACGGGAGGATTTCACATTCACTGAACTATAACACAATTTAGGTGTCAAGCAGGCAATGATTTAACTCTGAGTAGAGGTTTAAATACAAAACCGTACCATAGAACATTTGCTGATCATTAGCACTCTAAAATTAGGAATTTTTATCTTATAACACATCCAACAGACAGGGTTTCCAGATTTACATGCTCTGTAAGGGAATCTTCTGCCCCAGTGCCTTAGATAAACCCAAAGAGAACACCAGTAGTTTCCAAATCACTTTTAAAGCCTTCGCTATAAGAACCACTGAAAGGGCTTACCTTAACATAACAAAGCGGTAAAATGTGCCAACAAAAGGTTTTCCATTTGAAAAGGAGCCTAAGGAAACTATTCTTCCTATGACAGTTATTTAAAGGAGAGTTCAGCTTTACAAGACAAGTTAGCCTTGTGGCTAACTAACCAACAGAATTTCCAAGGTCACAGTCAGGCTTTACAGTAACTCCAACTCAGAAAACAAAGCAGGGTAGGCATTTCCATTGAAAGAAAACTCAGGTGAGGAGGAGAGAGCACATAATCCCTAGTCTGGACTGTCCCTCACCTTAGCTACTCCTTAAATCAATTCATGAGGAACAGCCAGATCTTCACTTGTTTCAGTGAAGCCAACACCTAGAAACAAACCCTCTGCAACTTAAGGTGAACTGCTCCTTTTCAAGCTGATTTGCATCCAATGTACACCATATTTGAGCAGACAAAAGAAAGGAGTAGTGTGTACCCTACTGCACAGAACTGGTTCCCAAACAATTCTCCTACCTCCAACAAATAGAAGACATTGCCAGTTTACTGTATTTGCCTCCAAACCGCAAAGTCTGAATCCTGAGAAATCTCTTCAAAT